TATGTTGTTGTCTATAACATGAACTTACAAGGTTTCTGGGGAGAATTCCACATGCCAATATAATATCTTTGTTTGGAACTAATATAGCTGATAAAACCATGATTAAGAATTAGGAAATTTGATGATCTAGTACTTTGATAATTCCCTGTATTAAAACTTAAATACATATTTTATGGATGGGGGAAGTCTTTAGATATTATCAGCTAAAACTTCATAGGTTAAAAACAAACAGCCTTTTCCTCAGAGTGAGCTGTACTGAATGATACAAGCTTTTCCTGATATTCACTTGAATCAGGTTTCATCTGGATAAGCAACCAAAATGTGTGGAGCATATTTTTTAAACATAAAATTTAGTGAAGCTCAAGTTTTGACCAAACAGATATGTAGGCATATTAATACAACTTCCTGAAAGAATTTTGTATGAAAGAAATCGTTTCTGACCTACAGATCACTGGAAATAAAGTATGATAAATTTGGGTCATTGATTTCTCTTTCTTTCTGATGTTTTCCTCTTCCCAAATAACAAATTACAGTTGAGGAAGAATAGTCTGTCTTTCCACTTAAATGATTTGATATAGGAGTATAAGACAGTGACTATACAAGGTGGATTTTTTGTTATGAAAGAATAATCTCAAAGAATAGTGACAATATTTAAATAGTGGTATGATTATCTAAGTATACTTAGATAAGTGTATTTTTATGCTAATTTTAGCCCACCTGACATAAGTTTTCCCCTGATTGGAAGCCTCCTTCATCAACTTTTCCTACTAGAAAACAACTGTCCTTATATGAAGGTAAAGCATCAACAATCTCTTAAGGGATCTAGAAGAAATTTAAGGGAGTAGCTTTATTCTGGAGCATTACATTTTTGCAGGCTAAAATATAATGATGAAAAATTCATGACATCAGAGTATCTTATATATGTGCATAAGATATCATAATAAAATACACTACCTTGTATAAATATATACTAATAAAATATTTTTAAAGTGTGGCCAGTGAGGGAATAAATGACCATTAGAATGAGTTTAGGCTTTGCAACCTTTATACTCTTTATTTTTAGTTCACTGCATCAAATATGTTCTTAATAGTTTAAATGTATCGTATGGGATTTCTCATGGCATGCTGACTAATATCACATTTTTTTAGACCATATGACAATTATCATTCTGTTTCATTAGACTATAAATTCCAGGAAAACAGAGGTTATATGAATTTTTTTCTGTTGTCTATATTCCCAGAACCAAGCATGGTGCCTGGAAATTATAAATACTGAATAAATATTTGCTGAGTAAATATTTGATATATTTGCCATGTTCCAAGACATATTTTAGCAACCCCCCAAGGGATACAGAGGTATATAAAGTCTACTGCATAATGTCAAGGAGTTTCTGGACTTCCTATGTGGTAGTAAGGAGGCTCGTGGAATAACTAAGACACAGACACAAATCATCATAGCAAAAAGAAGAGAAAGTTAGATATAGCAGAGTTACAAATAAGGTTCAAACAAAGGGGCTAGCATAATGGTATTGAGTTGAGCATGTTTCAGGAAGAAAAGGAAACGAGAAAGATTTTTATCAATAGGTGAGATTGATAGGAAACAACAGATGCTCAGACTGAGGTAGCAAAATGATCAATCACTGTGAAAAGAAAAAAGGCAGTGTGAAGAATATGAGTTCAATTGGGCTGGAAAGCTGGCCATGTTAACAGAGTGGTATGACACAAAGTTCTAGAGGTACATAGCTCTGTATTAGAAGCCATGTACTGCCAAACCACATGTCTGACAGTTTGTGGGAAATATGGGGCCATGGATACCTTTTAAATAGGTTATATTAGAAAAAAATAAGATACTTAATGAAGAATGGTGGACAAAGATAAGCAATTGGGACAGTAAGTCATAAAAGCCTGCCTGAACTAGAGTACAAAATAAAAATTTTAAACAGGAGAGTAATGGAGAGATATATACATAAATCTATATATTTACATATATACATGTATGTGTGTAACAATATATTTATATAATGAGTAAAATACATACCCAATGGAGTTGGGGATAACTGGGAGGGAGTTGCAGTTTTAAGTAGGAATAGCAAGGAAAATCATATTAAAAGATACCATTAGATTGTGTGTGTGTGTGTGTGTGTGTGTGTGTGTGTGTGTGTGTGTGTGTCTATAAATGTAGTATGAGGCTAGGTACAAGGTGAAGTCACTTAAATTTTGTTCTCATCAAATCAAAGTAAACAAGATAATAGAATAAACTATAGTCTTCCATACTGATATTAGATACACAGAATTTATTCAATTTATAAATTAAAATTTATACCTTTTGACCATCATTTCCCCATTTCCACCCTATTCCTGGCAACCACCATTCTACTCTACTTCTATGACTCCACTTTTATAGATCCAAAATATGTGAGAGATGTACAGTATTTGGTTTTGTCCCTGGTTTACTTCACCTAACATGATGTCCTTCATCTTGCAAATGACAGAATTTACTTCTTTTTAAAGCTAAATAACATTCTGGTGTGTGTGTGTGTGTGTGTGTGTGTGTGTGTGTGTGTGTGCGTGCACGCGCACGTGCTAGCTTTTCTTCATGTATTCATGTATTCATCTGTTGATTGTTACTTAGCTTGATTCAGTATCTTGGCTGTTGGGAATGAGCATGGAGTGCAGATGTCTCTTGGAAACACTAATTTCCATTTCTTTTGCATACAGACACAGACAAGTATTGTAGGGGCATATGTTATCTCTATTTTTAATTTTTTGAGGAACCCATGTGCTATTTATTTGGCATAATGGCTGTAACAATTTAGATTCCCACCCAAATATAGGATTTCCTACTCTCCCCATACTCACCAGCACTTGTAATCTCTTTTTCCCCTTTCACCATAATCTCTTTTTTTTTTGTTGTGAAAATAATCTATAGAGGGTTTGTCTTTTAAAAATATATATCTTGGGGCTGGGTAGGTGGCTCAGTGGTAGAGTGCTCAGGGACAATGCCCAGGCCCAGAGTTCAGGCCCCACAATGTGTGTGTGTGTGTGTATATGTATATATATATATATATATATATATATATATATATATACATATACACACACACATGTATGTATGTATGTATGTATGTATGTATATATATACATATATGTTTAAGTAGTTGTATGAAGGGGGTTTAGTTCCACATGTCAGTTTGTGAGTACAAAGCATTTTGATTACCCCTTCATCATTCTCCCCATCTCTCCTAAATTTATCCATCCCCTCAATTTTCCTAGTTCCATTTTCACACATATACACTGAATATTATGATTGCATTCTCCCTCCCACCCTCCTCTTCATTTGTCTACCCCTCTTTTCTTGACCTTAACATCCCTGAATTTTGTCTTTTTTAATGATAGTCATTCTTCAGAGTGAGATACCGCATAGTGGTTTCAATTTACGTTTCCCTTTTCATGTATCTGTTATCAGTGACCTGTTTTTCTGTGAAAATGATTTAAATATATATGTATATATTTATATATAAGTTTAGTAGGTGAAGAACCTCAACTGTAACAACCCTTTCAGTAACTATTCTATCCTTCAGTTATTGTGTGTGTGTGTGTGTGTGTGTGTGTGTGTGTGTGCGTGTGTGTGTGTATGTGTGTGTACCCCTCTCCTGGGGCTTGAATACAGGACATGAGCACTGTTCCTGAGCCTTTTGTGCTCAGAGCTAGTGCTCTACCTCTTGAGTCAGACCTCCACTTCTGGGTTTTGGGTGAGTACTTGAAAGTAAGGATCTCAAGACTTTGCTGACTAGCCTGGCTTTAAACCAACATCCTCAGGTCTCAACCTCCTGAGTAGATAGGATTACAGGCATGAGCCACCAGTACTTAGATTGACTTTTTTTTTTAACACTATCTTTCTTATCCAAGAAATACAAGAAATCAAATATTCCATACTTCATCAAACTGAATGCATAGTTCAGGTTACACATCAAGATCTTTAAATAAAGTGAGCATCACTGAATAAAATATGCTATTTTAATTGCCAGGGAATTTATTTACCAGGCACTATAACAATAATGATTCCTTGAGGAGCTGAATGTTGTACACTTTAAACCACATGGATTTGATAATCCAAAGCAGGATGTTTCATAATTCTCATTTCATTTTTGTTCTTCCCACATATCTTTAAAGTCAGTTAAGTCCTCCTAGATTTCAGCAGCCTTGAGGCAACTATCCAAGTCCCTAAGCGAAAATTTGTTTACCTCAGAACAAGGGTCATGGATCCAGCTGAATCAACTTTCTGGGGATTTTGATTCTCTGTTCTGGTGCTATGGTCTGTTGTCTTGGATAATTAAGAGGTGACTAAATGACCCATGTAAATGGAAGTATTTAAAGAGAGGCTGGTTGCCCACTTATTTTCAGACATCTGGGAAGAATTTGGATCAAATCAATGGCCCCCAAATGATGGTTCAAGGACACATTCTGGGCTGGCTATATCCAAATCATATGGGAAGCTTTACAAAATACAAATTTTGGGCCCTACCCCAAGCATACTGAATCAGGATCTCTAGAGGAAACACCCAAAAAACTGTACTTTTTTTCTAAACCTCCCCAGATGATTGTGAAGATCTATGAAGCTTGTGAAACAATAGTCTAGATTAGAGTTTCTTGTCTTAATATGCACAAGATTTTACCTGAGGGTCATTGTTAAAATATTGATTTTGATCCTGCAAGTCTGGTGAGGTTAGAGGGGCTGAAATATTTAATTTCTACCACCCCCCATATAGCATTGGCTCATAGATTTTGAGGAACAAAAAGGGTAGGCTATTTCTCAGATTCATTCTTATACTTTTCTGTGGTTACTATAAAGTGCTTGTAGGAACTGTAGCATATTATCCTTATATCAAAGCTTTCTATTCAAATCAATGTATTTTTCTATATATATGTATTTATATGTTTTTTTAAGATTTTCAACAACATGCCAGATATTAATTAGCTTGTTTCTTTTTTACTTGCAGCTTTACTTCTGTGTCTCAATTTTACATTTTCAACATATATCTGAAAAAGTCTCAGGAATCTGTTCTCTGCAAGTTAATCATCCCAGAAGAGTGACATCCCAGAACTGTGCACTGAATCAAATGTTTCTTCTATGTGAGCCAATAAAAGAATAAAAAAGCCTGCTCATCACCTGTAAGGATATGGCTATTATATGGGAATCTGAAGAGCTGCTATATAGCACATCATGATCCAAATGGGAAAAAACTAAATGTTGTGATGTCCCAGAAGGCCTTACAATAGAGTAAACAAAAGGAGAATATTTATGTTAGCTTTTCATTTGTGTTTGCATAGTGGACTCCCATGTATTTACTGTGGACAAATCCAAGGCAAATATGGAGCTAATTGTTTGAAACATTCCAAAGTCATCCATAGAGACTAACAGATGTGGCAAAAAGATTACTTTGTACTTAATCTCGCTGAACTATTGGCCATCCCTCTGGTTGAAAGAGCAGCTGTTCATTGTGAATTTACATTTTGGATAATCATTAGATAAAGACAGTCTCTCTAGAAAGAATCATGCTTGCTAATGACACATGCAATAGGACAGATGGTGATAATACAGATTTTCGGTACTTTATTTATGCAGTAACATACACTGTCATTCTTGTGCCAGGTCTCATAGGGAACATATTAGCCTTGTGGGTATTTTATGGTTACATGAAAGAAACCAAACGGGCTGTCATATTTATGATTAACTTAGCCATTGCTGATCTATTACAAGTTCTTTCTTTGCCGCTGAGGATCTTTTACTACTTGAACCATGACTGGCCATTTGGGCCTGGCCTCTGCATGTTCTGTTTCTATCTGAAGTATGTTAATATGTATGCCAGTATCTACTTCTTGGTCTGCATCAGTGTGCGACGATTTTGGTTTCTCATGTACCCCTTTCGCTTCAATGACTGCAAACAGAAATATGACTTGTACATCAGCGTTGCTGGCTGGTTGATTATCTGTCTTGCCTGTCTACTCTTTCCTCTTCTCAGAACCAACTCGGATACACCAGGCAACAGAACCAAATGCTTTGTGGATCTCCCTACTAGGAATGTCAATCTGGCCCAGTCTGTTGCCATGATGACTGTTGGTGAATTAATTGGGTTTGTTACTCCTCTCCTGATTGTCCTGTACTGTACCTGGAAGACAGTTTTATCACTTCAAGATAAATATCCTGTTACTCAAGATGTTGGAGAGAAAAAGAAAGCCTTGAAGATGATTCTAACCTGTGCAGGGGTATTCCTAATTTGTTTTGCTCCTTATCACTTCAGTTTTCCTTTAGATTTCCTGGTCAAGTCCAATGAAATTAAAAGCTGCCTAGCTAGGAGAGTGATTCTAATATTTCATTCTGTAGCTCTGTGTCTTGCTAGTCTGAATTCCTGCCTTGACCCAGTCATATACTATTTTACCACTAATGAGTTCCGAAGACGTCTTTCGAGACAAGATTTGAATGATAGCATCCATCTCCATACAAAATCATTTGTAAGTAACCATACCACTTCCAACATGGCAACTGAATTATGCTAGATTTTTTTAAAAAGCTGAATGTGGCTTGGAATGCAAGTACATCAGAATACATTTGCAATATCCAAAACAACAGGGAAGTATTCACAGGAAGCATTCACACTTTTTCAGTTAGCTTCTGTCTTACCTGTTTGGGAATGCACATCCTTATAACACAATCTGTTGGGAGCATTATGTTTCACTATCATTGATGTTACCATGTCCACATAGTAATTTATCATCAATCTTCAAAAATATTAAAAACCTATAATATTTCAATGAATTTCTGTACACAACAAGAGTTAACAACATTATCTCTGAACTGAAGTCATGAAGAGACAACTAGCTTGGAGTCAGCATAAGTCCTTAGCTAGTATGGACAGTGCACATCTCTTTTCAGAGGAAGTATAGTTGTCTGTTTATAGTAGTGATCACAGTTTACATTCCAACAACATATTTTGGTTGTATTTCAAGTAGGATAGACAACATAGTATTCTGTGTAAACAAAATGTTATAAACATAGGATCATATTTATCTCCAATATGTGATTATACTCAGAAGTTTGAAGATAAAAATAACTGTTTTCTTCATTCAGTGTCAATGTGAAACATCATTTGCCCCATATATTTGTTTATTGAAACTCTGGTTTGCTTAAATTAATAATAACCTTCTTGTGACTATATAAAATGCTAGACTGAATTTACCCAGGGCAAGTAGTTATCCTGAATCTACTCAAGATGACACCAATGACCTTTAGGCTGAGGAGAAAGCAGATTTATCACAGTCATAGTTCTGCCTTTCTTCAAGTATTTCTGAAGAACACTTCTGGAGATGTATGGGCCTGCCAAGACCAGAGATTTTTCATTATGTCTCTATAATGACACTGAGGTAGCTCTAACAAGTTACTGCACTTACTGAGCCTATGGAAGAAATAGTGCACTAATTCATCATGAAGTGTAAGCCAGAGTGAAAAGATAAAGCAAAGTCAAGTATACCAGTTAAAATTTATCACCACATTGTATTTATCACTGCAGTTAGGTTGTTCTTGTCATGCCATTTTTACCAGACAGGACGGGTTTGTGTGAACTCAGCTATGTGAGCCTTGAGGCTTATCTTGATTTTTTTCTAGTCCAAGTTTCCCTAGTCCTACCTCCTAACAAGTGGAGAGGATAATTCTTTTACCTTTTGAGAAAAGTTCAAAAGAACATTTTGGCAGCTGCGAGTATCCTTTACAAAACCTTACCTGCTACCCATTTGATATTGTTCTGCAAGACAAACTTGGGGTTTGAGTAGTAACTAAATCCAAGGTTTTAAAATAGTAGGATATTCCAAAACAAGTTTCGGCAAAAAGCTCCAAATTCACAAAAAGGCTCTGTTTAAAATCTGTGGCTATATAATGAAGACACATTCCAGTTTTCGTCCAGAAGGCAATAGGAACCAAACGGGGTAGTTTAGGAACACAAGATACTAATATATTTGAGGGGAAAAAAACTTGTGAAATCAAAGTAAATTCTAATGCCTAAGAATAATGGAAGGTTTTCTCTAGACAAGCATTGATTTGCTTAAATAACACCATGCTAGGAAAATAGCTGTGCTGCTAGCAGTAGTGTATCAATGTATATCACAATTATTCACTGTAAAATACATGTTTTGATGTATGAAATGAATCCTAAAAGACTGTTGCATTTTATTCTTAAAAAGGATAGCTAGAACTGTGTCTTGTCTGTTTTAAAGTGATTTGTGTTTGGCGCTGATTTAGTGTTGTAATTGGATTTCAAGTGATTTGTAGAGTTATGAAACAACTGTGAGTACTTGTATTGGGACAATCATACTGTTTCCCACATTAGTATTAGGCACACTTTGGGGGTCATTTTGGGAGACCATTGATTTAATTGTATTAAGATATTAATTTCTCTGTAAACATTATTATTAGGGGTAGAGAAAATATTTTGAGAAGTCATTGACCCTCTAAACAGGAATGATTGAGGGTAGAATCCATTTATTAGACAGGACATATATAGAATTTAGAGAGAAGATACACATGTTCAGTGATTTTATGCTGCTTAACTATGGCCACCCCTTCTACTTAAGCCTGCCCATCTAGATTTGCAGTCAGTGATCTGATTTATATTATTAATCCCATCTCATCACTATGTTTTGCCTTCTATTCTATTACCTTGTCCTATGCAGGAAGCTGATCAACTCATTAACACTAAGGTGCTAATGACTGTTAGTTTAATAATAATCCTTATATACCTATATAAATTTAAATATATATGAATCGCAGACTTTGGGACTAGGCATTAACACAAAGTAGTGACTTTCATTCAGGTTACAGACACTGAAGCAGATGGTTGGAAGGGAAATTATTTTGTCTTTCAGTGTATTGTGACCAATTTCATACTTTTTTGGGGGACCCTTTGTACTTAGAAACCAATTGCTTACCATTTTCAAGGTGTCAAATTCAAGATATATGTTTAGAAAACATTATTTTCCAAATATTGCTTTTATTTAATATTGGCTCTTTCCTTTCTATATCAGCATCTCATTTCCAGGGGGAAAATCTAAACTATGAGAGAATTAGAGTTGCAGCTACTATCAAGATAGTTGCCTCCTTTTTGAAATTTCCTTTTCCCTGGAAAATCTTGTCTTTAAACTTTTCATTTATCACTTTCTGAGTTCTATGTAATTGAATTATAAAGAAAAATACATTAAATTATGATTCCATATCATTAAAGATAAAAATCCCATATTTCCCTTTTACAATTGATTAAATTTTGATTTAAAAATGTGTAACTATTCCAACATAAACTGAATATGGAGTAACATATGTTCATATAATCTTGATTGCTATTACTATATTGAAATTGTTTATATGTATTGTCACTCACTTAACCAGAAATTTCTATTAACTGGTAATTTTTTCCAGTCCTGGGGCTTGAACTCAGGGCCTAAGTGCTGTTCCTGTGTCTCTTTGTGCACAAGGCTACCACTCTACCATTTGAGCAATAGCACCATATGCAGCATTTTCTGAGTAGTTTATTGGAGATAAGAATCTCCTGGACTTTTGTGCCTACGCTGGCTTCGAACTGAGAGCCTTATATCTCAGCCTTCTGAGTAGATAGGAATTCAGGTGTGATCCACCAGCTCCCATCTTTAACTGGTAACTTTATAAAGAGGAATATTTGCCCCTGGAATAACAGACCAAGGAACCTTTGTCTACAACAATTTATCAGTGAATTCTTAGGCTATTTAATTACTTTTGTGTCACTTTTTTGTTATAACTTCCAAGATACTGTGAAATATTGCACTTGGAATTTATTTACAGCTATAATTTATAATATGCATTTTAATAATAAAGATTGTCTCTGTAATTATGTAGAAACTGTCTGCATCCCAAAGTCAATGTGTATTCAATCATTTGTTTTTAGCAAACTGATAGACTTGAGAATTGTGTAGTGTTCTCACAAAGACAAAGTTTTCCTAAGGAATTTTTTAGACAATGGAGAGGTGAATTCAACTCTTAAAAGAGAAGGATGAGACATTCCCTATATTCTAACCTACTCCTATTCCTCTTTATTTCCATCAGGGGATTCTTTTAATGTCAAGGGCCATTTAGATATTTATAACATGATTCGTGGGCTGTATAAAAAGATCAATGCAGGGAGATGGCCTTGGGTAGCTGATGAGAAAGGATGGAGAAGTGCATTTGTCTGTCTTGTTATATATCAAATGAGTTTAAAGGCCCATTGTCTGGACTTTTCCCATCTCCCCCACTCTACTAAAATTATTCCTCACCCCAACTATAGACAATTTATTAGAAATACTTGAAACCATGTACAAAGGGGTAGAGATAACATTTTCCTTTTCCATTTTTGGTAGGGGGGGCTCTGTCATGGTGCTTGAACTAAGGGCCTGGGTGCTGTCCATGAGCTCTTTTGTTCAATCTAGTGCTCTAACACCTTGAACCATTGCACCATTTCTGGTTTTTTGTGGTTAATTGGAGACAAGGGTCTTAGATACTTTCTTGTTAGGGCTATCTTTGAACCTGGATCCTCAGATCTCAGGCTCATGAGTAGCTAGGGTTATAAGTGTGAGCCACAAGCATCCAGCTGAAAAAGAATGCTTACTTGTTTTAAGGATGAAGAGATGGAGTTCTGATATTTACTGTGTAATGGTAGGAGTAAACTCACCTTCCACTATGCCCTTATGCCCTTCTCCAAATAGAATTGCTTAAATAACAAAAAAATATGAAGTCAAGAGAATATTCTTCAATCTTCCTCTTCACCTAGTTTTCCTTTTTGTACTTTAGGAACTCTTTTCCTTATCTGTGTACTTAGTGCCTTCAAGAAGCCCACTACCTTCTGTAATAACCAAGTTGTTAGGAATACTTTGCCTGCTGTAGAAAGACTTTCCTAGGAAGTGGTTTAAAAGTTTCCAAAAGGGGAATTTCTGATGATTTATGAGATCCAGAGAAATGAATGGGAATATAAATATATGACTTGCCCCATGCTTCTTATACCCTCCTCAAGGTGATACAGACCTCTCTTATGTCCACCCCTAAAATCTTCCCTGAAGTAACTTCATTAACTTCACTACTATATTTTGCTGCAGTGGTGAAGAAGGGAGGGAGGAGCAGATAAAGTCTCAAATAATGTAGCTGTTTTAACTTACTTATTCCTCAGTTTTTAAAGGATGTGGTCTGTGTGTGGCAGGGGGAAGGAGGAGGGGGGAAGAACAGCTTGTAACTTGCTTGAACTTACAGACCATTTCCTCAGTACACTATCTTCACCCTTAACCACTACTTGATTTTGTCAAGACTGCATTTCTTCTTTTATTGTTGACTAAATTCTCTTCATCTTACACCTTGCTGTCCGATTTCTGACTCGTCTGAAGACATAGTTCTTATTTAAGTCCTTAGAGTTGCTTTCGCATACCTCTTCAAGGGATAATAGAGCAATTGTTGCATTGGAGAGATTGTCATTAGTCCTGAGTCTTCACCCCACTGTCTTTCTTTTTCTTGCTGAAG